AAATTCAAATGGCCAAAAAGCACATGAAAAAATACTTACCATCTCTACCCATACAGGAAATGCAAATGAAAACCACACTCGGATTCCACCTCACCCCTGTTTGAATAGCCATCATTAGAAGTACCACCAATAACAGGTGTTGGTGAGGATGTGGGGAAAAAGGAACCCTTGTACACTGCTGATGGGAATCCAAACTAGTACAACCACTCTGGAAAAAAATCTGGAGGCTTTTTAAAAATCTAAACATAGATCTGCCATATGATCCACAATACCACTCTTGGTGATACACCCAAAAGACTGTGACACAGGTTACTCCAGAGGCACTTGCCCACCATGTTTATTGCAGCACTATTCACAATAGCTAAGTTATGGAAACAGCCAAGATGCCCCACTACTGATGCATGGATTAAGAAAATGTGGTATTTATACACAATGGAATTTTACACAGCCATAAAGAAGAATGAAATCATTTTCAAATAAATGGATGGAACTGGAGAACATCATCCCAAGCGAGGTTAGCCAGGTCCAAAAGACCAATAATCTTATGTTCTCCCTCATATGTGGACTTTAGATCAAGGGTAAACACAACAAGGGGACTGGACTTTGATCACGTGATAAGGAGAGAGCACACAAGGGAGGTAGAGGATAGGCAAGAAACCACAAATACAAGAAAGCATTTTATGTCCTCAATGCAAAGGAACTAATGCAGAAACTTTAACACAACAGAGGCCAATAGGAGAAGGGGACCAGGAACTAGAGAAAAGGTTAGTTTGAGAAGAATAAATCTAGAATGTAACACATATGTACAGGAAAGCAATGTTAGGAATCTCCCTAAATAGCTATCCTTATCTCAACTAGCAAAAATCTTTGGTCCTCCTTATTAATGTTTATACTCTCTCTTCAACAAAATTAGAGATAAGGGCAAAACAGTTTCTGCCTGGAAGCAAGGAGGTTGCAGGGGAAGAGAAAGGGGCAGGGAGAAAGGGAGGTGGTGGGGGAAGGGGGGAGAAATGACCTAAACATTGTATGTACATATGAATAAAAGAAATAAAATTTTTAAAAAAGAAACAAATGATTGCTGTAGGTATTATTGTTAAATAGTGTATGGAGGAAAATAGAAAAATAATCACTTTTCAGATTTTATATACATATTATAGACATACACTATATATCAAATAACACAATGAAAGCCACAAAAAACTGTTAAAAAAAAGAGGAGAAGAGGGAGGATAGCTAAAAAAGAGCAACATAAATGAGATGGATTTAATCAAGGTACATTATATGTATGTTGAAAATATAATAAAATGCCTTTATACAATTAATTTATGTCAACAAAAATTTTTAAAAATAAAATCTTCCAAAAACTTAAAAATAAAAATGTATACCTATCTGAGTTAAAGAAATGTGATACTTACTATTCAAATAAAGATATTTATTTCTTTTATAAAAAGAAGGACAGGGGAAATTTTTTCTTCAGTAGTAAATATTTTTCACTACTTCTACCTAAATAAATGAATCAGTAATTCTGATATCTGTTTTAATGTGTATCCATTACATATTTAATACTGATCAATATGATTATATCATCCTATGCTTTCAGCAGGAGCTTGTTCTTTGTAAGCCAGTCTTGGTATTTTGGATGTGCTCATTTAAGAATGAATGATCTCACTAGCACATAATTCTGAAATTCTATGTTTGCTTTGTATATTTCTATTTTACAAGGTTTCTCCCCTCCTACAGGAGTTGGGTCAATGGCTTAGTTCCTGAGTCATAGCCCTAATTCAGTTCACTGTTCTGATATACATGGCCATATGTAACTGCATATTTCTTATGAGTCTTTATGCCCTATTCTTTAAAGGGAAGAGAAAAACTTAATTAAAGGGACTGTTAAAATCTTAGAGGGATAGGTAAAAGATTCAACATAGTTGACAAATAATGCAGTAGGCCCTTGGTATATCTGGGTGATGGTTCTAAGGAGAATGCTATTGAGGAAAACTATGGATGCTCAGGATTCATAGGGTTCAGTACAGAACTAATAATGCTTAATTCATTTTTCCCATAATGTTGCTCAACCTCTACTAAAGACATGCTGTATTTCAACAAGCCTAAAATTCCACTTTAGCACTTAAGTTAAGAACATCAACTTTTACCTTGCTTTTTGGCTACCATTTGTTTTTTGGATGACATATTTTCAGCAAATTAAGGGCAGGGAAAATCTCAGCTTATCCTATAACCATTTAAGTACAGTCAATGACATGGGAATGACTAAGGGTTTTTCTTCATTGACTAAACTCCATAATGTTCATGTGAGAGTTTAAAACTTTTGTTTTTGAAATTTGTTTTGATTTATTATTGTTTTAACAGCCCTTGGTCAAAATAGTGTGTAATAAATTTGTAAATAAGGTGGGATTTACTATATTCACATAAAGAAAGCAAATACTGGTTTTGTAGCATTATTTTGCTACAATAAATTGAATTCATAAAAATAGTTCTTTAAAAGAAAGAAGTAGTTGTTATATGCTGCCTTCTATTTATTATCCTGTAATTCACCACACATTTCATCCATCACTTTTATATCTCTGTATTTTTAGTAATTTTTGTCAGAATGTCCATTTAATTAAATTTTTCACATTTGCTGGGAGTCCTTCCCAGAGAATGCAAATTTTGTGAGCAGTCCATCCTTCACACTGATACAAACCTTGGTTCATGGTTTTATAAAAATTAGCTCTATATCTAAACATCTGGCTTTTCACTGTTTCTTGAAATCCTGTAGTGTGGAGATAGCATCATCTTTTTAATGCAGATTGGTAGCACACACTTATAATCAAGTTGTTTTAATAAATATTTTTAAAAAATATTGTCTGAGCGAATTTTCACAATCATATAAAAGTTTAGAAGAGCTTGCATCTGGAAGTTTCTTATTATTTTATAGAGAACTGTTAATATCCACATGCAAATATTGAGTTAAGACAACACAATGTATGCAAAATTACTCATTTTATTATTGACAAGATATAATTTCGGATTGTTCAATATATATTAATTGTTATGATTTTCCTGTTTGTTTTGTACATGGATTGAAATAGAGAATTAACCCCAGTGTTTCTTGGACGTAGGACGATAACTACCTGAAACAACTTGACATTTAGAAGTGTAGGGGTGGTAGTTGACATAACTTTTTACAAACACACTTGGGATAATTATTTGTGTGCACTGATAAACAAGTCAAACTGAGTAGAAGATTAATTTATGAGTCATGATTCAGGTTGTAGGCAGAGTTACTGGGAAGAGCTTAGTCTCTGTATATAGAGCATCATAATCTTATTCCCAGAAATTCTTCATAATATAAAAGAAAACAAAGAAAGATAATGAGTGAAAATTGAAGTGACAAAGCCAAGGAAGACAAGATTTATAATTTATCATATGCTTATGACTTTGAAGGTAAAGTGAGCCCGTATTTAGCAATTATTATGAAACTGATCATAACTATGATGTGATAAAAGTCAGAAAAACTGGTATTCTCTCATCATCAATAATGTCATTATTTGGCCTAATTGTCCACAGGAGAATTTTAGAAAATTTGGGAATAAATCATCCTTTTTCATCACTATATGCCAAAAACCTGTCATAATCTGAATGAGTAAACCATACATAAGAAAATATTTTAAAACTTTTGGTAGTTAACATGAATATTTAATAAATTATTACAAGTGAAAGTCATCATGTTGTAACTATGAGTGTAGATTTTGATGTAGAGAGTGAACTTAAACCCCATAATCTGCAAGCTATAATCTCTGAAACACTGACTTTTCAACCTTGGTTTCACTCTGTTCACTTGCTTAGAAATTATAAATAATGCTAGTTATTTTCTAAGGGGAATTACAAAATAAATATTGCATATGACTTACCTAATACAATGTAGAGTAGGTACAATACACACAGGAATGCACACACTTATAAGAGATGTTCTCTTCCTTGTAGCAAAAACTCTAAAGTCATTTGTAGACCCTGAGATTGAAATGGAGCTCTCCAGAAAGTTAAACTCTCATGTTTATCATAATTTAATAAATTTTATTGATATGTTTTGTATTTTGGAGTTTAATTTAATTTAATCTACCTAAAGAATAATAACTTTAATCAATGGAAAATACTAATTTTAGATATTTTTTACAGTCATTAAAATAATTGAGTCTGCCATGTAATAATCACTGAAAAACTTTATTTTTATTTTCTGCTCTACTCCTCTTACTACTTCTTCTCATTATTAACATAAGAATTATTAATACAAATATAATACACATGTTTCTAATATTTTAACATATTTAAATGGATACTTATGCATTTTACCCAAACCCCTGATTGTAGTTTTTTGATTTTCCAGAAATGTTAAATAGAATAAGATTTCTTAATAAAATTCCTTCCCATTACACATCAAGAATGACTAACTACAAAGTTCACATCCATCTTGAGCTTTCTTCCCTCAAGCTAAACGACCTATGTCTCTACTAAGCAAAGCATTTCTATTCCAAACCATAATCATTAAACCATATTTTCTACTTCATCCAAATACACTTGAATGAAATACATGAAATATCAGAAAATTTGAAGCAACATTCACTTTTATCAAATTTAGTAAGTACGATGTGAGGAAAATTTTAATAATGAAATAGAAAAATAAAACAATAGCTATAATGATTTTTGAGAGCATATGCATGATAGAAAACATATATAAGGATGTTTTAAAATACACACACACATATCCACATAAAGAAACATAGAGTTGGTACATAGATAGAGAGACAGGCAGATGCATAGGTCAATAGATAGGCAGATGAACATAGATGTAGCACTGTACCTAAACATAAAAAGCCATTGCTTACTCTAAAAGTATAATTTCCATAAGTAATAATACTAATCTGATCATAAAGAATGCTGTCTTTCTCCCTTACCATTAAATTTGAGAAAGAAAGGCTATATTCCTTTTAACATCACTAGTGCTTTCATTTATCTGAGAAAAGCATCAACTTTTGGATGGTGTCCTTAAAGGCTTGCTTTACTTGCTGGTTCCTCAGGGTGTATATAAATGGATTCATCATAGGAGCAACAGAAGTATTGAGAATAGCTACTCCTTTGGTCAATGATGCTTTTTCTTTTGCAGAGGGATTAGCATACATGAATATGCAGCTTCCATAAGAGATAGAAATGACAATCATGTGAGAGGAGCATGTAGAAAATGCCTTTTTTCTCTGACTGGTAGAAGGAAGTTTCAAAATTGTCCTAATGATGAGCATGTAGGAAAGAATTATTAATGATAAAGTGAAAAGCAGAATCACTATTACAGAATAAAAACCAATACCTTCTAGGAGCCACGTGTCTGAGCAAGACAACTGCAAAAGGGGGAAATAATCACAAGCAAAATGATCAATGACATTTGAGCCACAGTAATCTAACTGAAGAAAGAGAATAACTGGTGGGAAGATGTTTAAGAACCCTGCCAGCCAAGCACAAAACACAAGTAGTATGCAGATTCTCTTGTTCATGATAGTTGTATAATGCAGAGGTTTGCAGATGGCCACATAGCGATCATAGGACATGGCAGTTAGGAGGTAAAATTCTGTTATACCCATGTAAATGAAGAAAAACAACTGAGCTGTGCAGTTATTGTAAGAAATAGTTTTATCTCTGGTAAAAATTGTGCCCAGAAATCTAGGGATATGGACAGTTGTAAAGGTTATTTCTAATATGGAGAAGTTCCTGAGGAAGAAATACATGGGGGTCTGTAGATGGGAGTCCACCAATGTGAGAGTGATGATGGTTAAATTTCCAGTGACACTTAATATATATGTGATAATTAAAAAGGGAAAAATCACAATCTGAAGCTCAGGATCATCTGACAGCCCTTGTAGAATGAACTCAGTGGGTACTGTGTGGTTTTTCATCATTTTATTCACCCCCTTAGAACATAAAATGTATGTTCTCCCTAAAACATGAAGAACAGAAAGAAGACTGAGGATAGTGCATAACATTACAATATTCATAAGGTGAATTATCTGTAAATTAAAATAGAAAAACATATGTTCTCCATTGGCAACACTATTTGATTTCCATTTTGCCCTTCATTCATGTAAAAATATTATCTTGAGTTAAATATTGATCTTTGTTCATTGAAAACACTATTATTATTGATATAGATTTTAAAAAAAATCTCTGGTGCTAACATTTTAATAGACACAATTTTTTTCAATGTTTCTATAAAATTAAGCTTATAGTTATTCTTAAAAAATATTTAGCAATTCTATAAATTATACAAATACTGTAATTGATTTTTTCTTTCCATTATATTAAAAAAAGAGATCTAGAATATAGATAGAATAATCTAAATTTTGAGTTTAAAAATTACAGAGATTATTTAGCCTTACCTTCAGATATTATATTTTGAAAAACTCAGTCCATGTTGTTCAAGAAAATCTCACAAGTTGAACAACCATTCACCATAATAATCATCTTACTTTAGAAACTGAATATTTATTCATGAAAAGTACTGACATTCTTTCCTAAATTTCTTGCTTCAGGTCTTGGAAACACTGTTTTCCTCCTTGCCCCATTAATTTGTTTTATTTCCTAATAAAAAGGCCAGAAGGATGAGATGGGGAAAGTTTTTTGCCAAAACAAATCATTGACCAGAAACATTTTAATTCACAAAATTCACAATTAACATTTTTTATAATATTTCTACAGGAAATGAACAAGTTAATGGTCAAAATAATATTTACTGGGAAGTAGAGATTCTTTAAAGCAATAGAAAATGCACTTTTAAATTCTTGTTTATCACAAAATAATGTTTACACGTGGGGGAAAGTTCCAGGACTTATTGCTGTGTTCCTGCATTGGGATTTCAGTAATAACTTCTTAGTAATAACTGTTTAATTTGTAGTATTAGAAGGACTGTAAATTCAGTCATATGGGCAAATATAATTTTTAGGTGCTTAAATAAAAAGGAATAATATGTATAATATTAAAAAGAAACAAATTTACTTCCTGATCCTTGTGATAATTAACTCTGAAATTCTACCATCTGGCTTTTTAAAATATTCACAAAATTTTAAAGTTGGAAAATTGGTTCAGCAATTTACTTCATTTCCTTTTTACTGACAAATGAAGAGTGATGATTTAACTTTTTCATGGTTTGTAAAATTGTATTTCTTTTGTTCAGGTAAGTAATATTTGACCCATAATATTCTTGATTCTTGTTATTATAAAACTATTGGCTCATTTTATCATATTACATTTAAGTCTTGCTTTTCCTTTCTCCCATAAGATCCATGTATAAACACTGGTAAGCTTATGCTGATTAAAGTACTCTTCCATTTGACTCTTTCCATATAATATAAATCACCCACTAAAACATTTTTCTTTGCATTCACACAAAATTTTTATATAAATATTTTGCAATCCTATATTTATACACTCACAAAATCTAAGTAATGTTTTCCCTTTGTTTTGAGAATATCACATTTCCCTACAAATGCTGATTTGAAAAATAGAAAGTAAGGAATGTTCCTTCTATGTATCATGCCAATGGAATTGAATTTCTTTTATCTGTATCTTTCTTGTTACCTCAGGGGAACTGATTAAGTAAACGAATGGTACTAAGGAGATGTGTCATTAAAAGATAGAAAGGAATCATTGATTTTGGTCTTTTATTAATATTGGTAAGAAAGTACACAAAATCACTGCTTTGTACCATTAATACAAACTATATTTAAAAGGAGAAAAAAGGAGATGTGTAGATTGTAAACAACCACATGAGAAGATATTCCACATTATATGTCCTTAGGGAATTGCAAATTAAAACAACAAGGAGATACCACTACACATATGCTCGATGGTCATTATTAGACAATACCAAATGCTGGCAAGGATATGGAGCACCAGGAGCTCTCATTCATTTCTGGTAGGAATGCAAAAATGGTACAACCACTTTGTGTTGGGGACCAGGCATGAACCCTGGAATGGGAAGTAATGGAGCTTATACAGTTTCTCCACGGTAGGAGCTTCCAGGGTCTCTTCTACTCTCATTCTTCCCAGCACCTGGTGTCTTGACCTTTGTTCCCACATCTCCTTGAAGAGAACAAGAAACTGTATCAGCATACCAGCCCCCAATGCAAAACTAGATAAAGTACCAGAACTATTTGGAGACTCCCTGATGTCAGATTAATCAATACTTTAGATAAGGTGTCCTGTGTGCCTTGATGATTTCAGAACTGATGTGTTGTAATTAGCTTCTATAGCTTTAGGAAAATTTGTCCACCAAACCTCATTCCTTTTACCTTGTATCAAAGAATTGTTGAAGCTTGATTTTTACTTGAGTCTTTTCCTTGTACTGATCTATAAAATAAATACTCTGGCTCAGGTAGGTGCTTGCGTTTTCCCACAAGGAAATTGGAAGTAGCCCTCCCGGTCCTACTGTTTTATGTCTGTATATCTGTGTGTGTCTCATTTCTCATTCCCCCGACACTGACACTCTTAGTCAGGTTCACACAGCATACCCACGCAGGTGGGCAACTTTGGAAAACTTTTGGTGGTTTTTTAAAACTAAGCATAATCATACTATAGATCCAGCAATCATGTTTCTTAATATTTTCCCAAAGGAGTTGAAAATTTATGCCCAAGCAATATCCTATACATGAATATTTACAGCAACTTTATTCATGGTTGCCAAAATTGGGAAGTAAGCAACATGTCTTTTGGTAGTGATGATTCAATAAACCAGGTATATCTAGAAAATGGAATATTATTCAGCATTAAAAAGAAATGAGTTATCTAGCCATGAAAAGAAATGGAAGAATCTTAAATTCATATTGCTTAGTGAAAGAAGTCAATCTGTAAAGGATGCACAGTATATGATTCCAACTGCATGACATTCTAGAAAAGGCAAAACTTTTTATGCAGACAGTAATAGGATGAAAAAGATGATTATTAGGGATTAGGGAAGAGGTAAAGATGAACAGGCAGAGCATGAAGCTTTTTAGGTGAGTGAAAATGGTCCTATGATAATTTATTGATGGATACTGTCATTAGACATTTATCCAAACATTCTGTGCTTAGATAATATCAAGAATGAACCCTGTTATAAACTACAGACTTTGGGTAATCACGATGTGTCCGTATAGATTCATCAGTTGTCTGGTGGAGGAAGGTGATAATATGGGGCAGGTTATATATGGGAAATTTGTTTACCTTTCTCTCAATTTTTCTGTGAACCTAAAGCTGCTTTAAAAAATTAGTCTTTAAAAAAAGAGTATACCAAATAATTGGTGTGAAGCAAATATATAAGCAACATGTGTGATAATAAGTATATTGAATTTGATTCTTCTATAATGGTAGGAGTCCAGATTTTTCTTTCAGAAATTCTGGACCTGTATTCAGGAGAATTAGCATAATTTGTGTCCCTTGAATTTTGGGATCCAAGGAAAATCTTCTTTGCTATACCACAATGAGATGTTGGTTTGTTTTTCTGAAATAACATAAGTGTCTTCTGAAATGGGCAGTGTTAAAATTCTATGAGGACTTTTATCCCTCCATCAATCCTTTGCATGTAGGGAATTCTTCCATGCCATTCATTATTGTTATAGCAAATTCAGTAAAAGTTTCATTGATTTCCTTTGACTACTTCCATTCACTGTATCATTTATTTTCATGAAGTTGTTGCTTACAGTTGTACATATGACATCTTCTCATTGCAGGAATAGTTATGAGCCAAGAAAATAAACGTTCATAAATCTGATATTGCATATTTTTAACTTATGTTAGACTTAAAATTATTCTCTTTATTTTAATTTTAGGTATAAATAAGGGCATAAAGTGGGTATGCATTTAAATCGACAGATGCTGATCACTGGCAGAATTTAAAGATATGAGTGTCTGAAGTGGGAAAGATGAAAGTAGAGAAAAGTGAACAAGCTCCTGCTGAAAGCATAGGATGATATAATCATATTGATGGGTGTTAAATATGTAATGGATACACATTAAAACAGATATCAGAATTACTGATTCATTTATTTAGGTAGAAATAGTGAAAAATATTTACTACTGAAGAAAAAATTTTCCCTGTCCTTCTTTTTATAAAAGAAATAAATATCTTTATTTGAATAGTAAGTATCACATTCCTTTAACTCAGATAGGTATACATTTTTATTTTTAAGTTTTTGGAAGATTTTATTTTTAAAAATTTTTGTTGACATAAATTAATTGTATAAAGGCATTTTATTATATTTTCAACATGCATATAATGTACCTTGATTAAATCCATCTCATTTATGTTATTCTGTATTAGCCATCCTCCCTCTTCTCCCCTCTTTTTTTTTAACAGTTTTTCATGGCTTTCATTGTGTTATTTAATATATAGTGTATGTCTATAATATGTATATAAAATCTGAAAAGTAATTATTTTTATTTTCCTCCATACACTATTTAACAATAATACCTACAGCAATCATTTTTTTTCTTTTTTAAAAATTTTATTTCTTTTATTCATATGTGCATACAATGTTTAGGTCATTTCTCCCCTTTCCCCCATCCCCTCCCTTCTCCCTGCCCCATTTCTCTCTGCCTGCAACCTCCTTGCTTCCAGGCAGAAACTGTTTTGCCCTTATCTCTAATTTTCTTGAAGAGAGAGTATAAACATTAATAAGGAGGACCAAGAATTTTTGCTAGTTGAGATAAGGATAGCTATTCAGGGAGATTCCTAGAATTGCTTTCCTGTACATATGTGTTACATTCTAAATTGATTCTTCTCGAACTAACCTTTTCTCTAGTTCCTGGTCCCCTTCTCCTATTGGCCTCTGTTGTGTTAAAGTTTCTGCATTAGTTCCTTTGCATTGAGGACATAAAATGCTTTCTTGTGTTTGTGGTTTCTTACCTATCCTCTACCTCCATTGTG